AAAGAAAAGGAAACATAACATCGGCATGTTTGATCTCTATAGTTCAGCGATAGATGTTTTAGAGTTGCCATCTAACATGATTTTTTTGTTCGTAACCAAGCGACGAAAGAGGAGCATAGATTCCAAAATTCACTTAAAAAACAAATAAAGTCGATAAATATTCTCAAAAAGTTATAAATAATTACTAATTATACTAGACATTATCTTCTTTTCTGAAAAAAATTGCTTTAGTCGAGGAGCGCTATGTTCGATGGAAATAAACGGTACTCAATTTTACCTAATTACAAAAAATGATATCTTTGCATCCATTATATGTATAAAGATGAAAATTTCACAATATGTGTAAGTATTAGTCATAATTCATATCCTAAAATTTCAGCTCGATCGGTCTGGCGCAAAAAAAGTCGACTTTTCAACCTCTCTCATAATGTATTTATGATTGAATTTATCTCAATGCATGTGTATGTAAATGATAGCTTAATTACTATCATCTTTTCATCACTCTCTGACGAGAAAAATAAAAGAAAATTATCGATTTTTAACATATAAATATGAATGATTTTCTATGTAAAACAGGCCTCGCAACGTATCGCCACGGTCAACGAAGAAAAATCAGGAAATCAGGAATTAGCGTTGATTGTAGCGATTTCGTTGCGAGGCCTGTTGTAAAATCATTCAATTTATTGGATCAAATATTAATCTTTTCTATTTATATTTTAGAATGATTTCGACGATACAAAATTATACAATTGAAATCAATACAACACAATAAAAAAATGTAGGTATCAGTTTTTCTTTTTTTTCTTTATTGGATCATACAGAGGGTGGTAAGTCCTCTTGTGATCTTTTATATTCATGTTTTTCTTTTCCTGTTAAAGACGTCATCATTCAACATCAACGGGTGAGTTAATTTTTTTTTCTTTTTCTTTTCTTCGTTGAGATGAGAATAGTTAGGGTGAGTGAGGTACGTTGAGATTAAGGTTTCGCTTTATAAGAAGGACTTCCGGGTAGTCCCTAAAAGCCTGGCCAGGAACTGTCTTGGTGTCCGTGGCACACGATCGGGCCCCTAGACTCACTGACATATGACATCGGATGGGTGCATGTGGATGATGTGAGTCTTCCCGCGAGTGCATGAGCTTTACGCTCGCCACGGCTCCACAAGGATGGTTCCTGGTCGCGCGCACGCGAAGAGAATAGAATAGCTATGAAATCATTTTTTCATTCAATCACGATTTATTTGAAAGAGAAAGAGAACAAACAAAAAAATACTTCATCATCGCATTGAATTTCATTCGATATTAAATTTTTGTACTCGATTATTATAGTAATCGGCGACATACAGATTGCCATGTCGATCGAATGATAAACCCATGGGAGAAGCGAGTTGATTCGACTGTGCTCCATAACCGTTTCTACCAACAATGACATTTCCTTGTGTGGATCCTTTTGGCCAACGCATGATGCGATGATTCCTAGAATCAGCCACATAGACAGTACCCAATTGATCGACAATGACTCCTTCAGGTTCATGCAATTGTGTAAGACTATTTCCTTGTCCTTGGCCACCGGCTACGACAATGCCTTGTTTTGCATGTTCTTTCCATTTCATTACACGATGATTTTCATTATCAGACACATAAACTGAATGATCTCGATCGATAAATACGTAGCGGGGTTCAGAGAGTTGATCGAGACGATTTCCTTGTCCATTGCCACCTGCAACTACTGTTCCTTTAGTGTCACCAATTTTATATCGTCTCACTTCATGTTTTCCTTCGTCAACGACATAGAGATAACCATTGTCATCCATTGTCAAACCCGCGCAAGAGATATTTGAAATAATTGTTTCCCCACGAGTACCATTTCGACGAGGCCATCGAACTACTCTTCTATTCCCGTAATCGCTGATGATGAGACTATCGCTACCTTTGTCGATGATCAAATGTTCTGGGAGGTTTAACTGATGAGCTCCATTTCCACCAGCAACTACTTTTCCATTCGTTGCACCAGATTTCCATTCCACAATACGATGATTCAACCAATCAGCGACATAAATCGTTTGATCATCTTCGACGTACAAACCCAATGGAGTGTTGAGTTGATTGGTTTCACTGCCATCGCCATTTCCTCCAGCAACAGTGATACCATTCTGTGCCCATTTTGCATTCGGATGGATATCAATGGAACTCGCACGTAGTGGTACTAAAATGAAAACAAAAGTATGGAGTAGAAATAAACATCAATGTCATTGAAATGAGTCCTTCTCATTTGTTTTAAACAATATTGAACTGCTCTAAATTACAAAAGTCTTTTACTTATGAGCTTGATTAGAATCTAATTTTTCTCAATGTTGAAAACAAAACACTGTTGATTTTTCTGAAATATTTTGTGTAAGAATCCTTAGTTTGACTAAAACTAACTAAAATTTAACTGGTAATGTGAAAAATTGCGATGAACTCGGATTTTATTGTAAATGAAATTTTCTTTTCTATCGAATTTTTCTAACATATTCACTGATTTCGTTAGTTCGACTCTGAAATATATTTAGATTTTGCATGTCATCATTTTAAAAATCATTTCATTTTTTTTGGGTGTGGGTGTGGAGTGTGAATGTGGGTGTGGGTGATATGGGTGTGGATGTGGATGTGGGGTGTGGGTGTGGGTGTGGGTGATGTGGGTGTGGATGTGGGTGTGGGTGTGGGTGTGGGTGTGGGTGTGGGTGTGGGTGGTGTGGGTGTAGGTGTGGGTGTGGTGTGGGTGTGGTGTGGGTGTGAGTGTGGGTGTGGGTATCGGTGTGAGTGTGGGTGTGGGTGTGAGTGTGGGTGTGGGTATCGGTGTGAGTGTGGCTATGCTCTTTCTGAAGCAATGACAACAATCCACACCAACACCCACACCCACACACCCACACCCACACCCACACCCACACCCACACCCACCCACACCCACTCACACCCACCCACACCCACACCCCACCCACACCCACACCCCACCCACACCCACACCCCACCCACACCCACACCCTAGGTGAATATGAAAAATTCATCTACTACAAGGGAAATAGAACAAGGAATCGGACTTCAATGAAGGCTATTGGTTCATATTGATGATGGGCTTCAATTTTCACATCCTCACCTTCAATTGACCACCCTTCGTCATAGTAGTCAAAGAATAAAAAGCAATTACCTTGAGCCTGAATACATCTTTCAATCATTTCGATCAAATCAGAACTGTTGGGCCGATCATTCGGCTGTTGTGCCCAACATTTTGTAATAACATCGCAAAACCTCGATGGAGCACTTTTGGGTATCTTCAAGCGATCACCAGCAAGTACGAATGCACGAATGACATCATCTTGACGATCATAATAAGGTATTTTTCTGCTTGCCAGTTCCCAAAAAATGATTCCTAAACTATAAATATCGCTTTTATCTAAATATTCTTCCAAGCGAAGTATTTCAGGAGCAGTCCATGGCAGTGTATAAGCATGTGTATGATTAGATTTTGTTTGACGTATCGTTTCATTTCGTGTTCGAGCCAAACCAAAGTCACACACTTTGACAGTGTATCCTTGATAGGCTCTCTCCATCAAGAAGTTCAACGATTTTATGTCCCGATGTAAGACAGGCACTGGCAATTGATGCAAGTAATTGATTCCGTTGGTTGCTTGCAAAGCAATCGACAATAGTTCAGGCCAAGTTAACACAAGATTATCTTCGTGTAATATTTTGTACAATGATCCTAATGACATGTATTCCATAACCAATGCATACTTTCCTGATTCTGTACAGGCACCATAAAAACTGATGATGTTTGGGCAACGAATGCTATCCATTAATGAAAGTTCTTTGAAAAACTCTTTCTCAGCTCTATCAGTCAAATGGGTTAGATGTAATTTTTTGACAGCAATTGTGTAACGTCTACTGATCCACGTAGCTCTGTGTACTGTTCCAAAAGCTCCGACACCAATCTTCTCATGTAGTTGGAGGTCGTCATCGGCTATATGAATAAAGTCATGTGATTTATCTAAATATCCAAAGCATATACCAGAAACTGTCCATGCCAATACCTAGAGCTCATCGCGAATAGAAATATTCTCTTTATGATATGATGTTGTTTAAAAAAATACTAGTTCCAGGAAGGTTCATAATTTGAATTCTTCTTTTGAAAAAATCGTAGAAAATTATAAACTCTTATGTTTAAGTGACTTTTCAACGTTTGAAAAAACCTTCTGTAACAAAGCATAGTTCTCCGGACAATGTGTATAGTTTTGAGATTTAGCCAAGACACTCTAACGTCGTGGGATGCTGGAACTGTAGTTGGATAGTTCACATACGTTTATATTTATTGTATAGCAGTGAGGAAGTTCTTCGTGACCAATCAACCGATTATTCTACAAACTTCCGACAGGAAGAAATTACTTTAAAGATAATTCCATCTTTTCTTTATCTCAAAGCACTATTTTTATGTGTTTTAGTTTTTCATCGTTAATGTATCCGCAAAATCTCCTTTACTAAATGCCTTGCAGAAAAGAATTTAAAAATACACGAGGATGTGGATATCAGTATTAAAGGGCAATTCAGCAACGTTCACATCCACACTCAATATCCAGCCATGTATATCATTCTTTTTACATGTGCGATTGAAATTTCCTTAGTAATAGGAATCGAAAATATAAACATTTTCTAGAAAATTGAGTAAGCACACAAGCAAGTTGCTTTCCAAACATCGAATCTGTTACTTACTTTATTTCTAGCTTCCATGAAATGATATCGAGATATCTTCTAGAACCGAATAGCTGATACAGAACGTGACTGCTTTCGTTAGAAACTTCGTGGCCTTTGAATTTCATGATAGGTATCTGAGGAGAGTGTAGATTGGTATTGTGGATATGCCAGAATAGAAGGCTAATGTTCACAGCGTTCAGAGGGTATACTTATCCCACTGAGGTATTGCTGAGTAGTGATTGCTCATAGTTCATGAAACCTGAAAATGTCTCTAATTGTCTCACCTTTCTCATTCCTATTAGATCCTGCAGCTAGTTCTTTGATCGCAAGTAATTTTTGGCGACATTGAACGCTCTTGTCCAAGTCACCTTGCTGCGCAGCGATTACACTGAGATCGGCATATAAACTGCGCAGTGAAGGATCATTCGTCGACATTTCTTCTATCAAACGACTGTAGTACTTCTCAGCCAGATCAAGTTTGCCCATCGTCCATAATAACTTGCCCAAAGCCCAGAGACTTGTCTCTCCAGTACCGTTTTGCTTCTTCATGTCTGCAAGAACTTCTTTCAAGTTATGTTCGTCCTCACCACACAAGGACATTTTTATTATCCATTTTTTATTTTCATCTTGATCAACAAAGTTGAGACGAAAAATGGAACCAAGTGTAAAGAGCAATTCAGATTCATCAGCAAATTGACTAAGAGCACTGATGTCAGCAAACGGTTTCGTCGAGACTACCTTGGGATCAGCATCAATCTCGAATAGAACTCGCTCTAAATCATTCTGCTGGTTTCTATCGGCCATATATAGATCAGCTACTTCAAGTTGCTTAGTAGTTGAAAGAAATGAATTTACAGAAACGAACTGGCCAATGTTTTGTTTGAGATAATCTAGCTCATCGATTGACATCCACTGGCTGCGGTAAACTCTAGCAGGATGCTGAGATTGAAAATGCTGCAACTGGCGACATATATCAACAATGAATGAACGATATAAGAAAATCATATCAATATCTTGCTTGCGTAAAGCCGCATTCAGAGTCTTGTAAACGAATGACTCACGAGTGTACCACCACAAAGCCTTGTCGGATGTGTAATCATTGTCAAATTCACGTAGATTGTTGAGTTCGACACAATTGTCTTTGTATTCATTCTCACAACGAGAAATGAGTTCTTTTCTATCTTTCTCATCAATTTTTAATCGAAGCAGACAATCGATAAGTGATTGAGAAAAAACAAAATGACCATTGATTCCTGTTGTAGATTTTCCTGCATCATCACTGGTAGCGTACATACTAATTGACAGTGGTTCTTGCATCTTCATCTGATTCTTATGATCAGCTTTAATTTGAGAAACCAGTTCTTCTGGTTCACTAGTGACCTTTACCTAAATTAGCAGAATAAAACGACTGAAACTTTTCAGAACAACTGTACCTTGACGAACTCGTTTGCCCATTGTTCATCGCTCTTCTTGTCTGTGGAAATAACATAGATTGCTGAGACTTGTCGAAGTTTATGAATAGAAGGTACCAATTGTCGACTCAACTGACTATTAACTATGAGTACTAATCGATCATGTTTTGACCTTTGCCCTATATATTGTTTACACTCTTCTTCATTTAGAAATTTCTTGAGATGATTGATGGTTGGACGTAGTCTTTGCTGTGTATCTTGATTTGCTTTGTGGTGAACGTTTGTATCAAGCCAGACAAGAGTGAATAATTCAAGATGATCGTCATTGCCATTGTTAAGAGAATCAACAGAAGATTGACTAGCCATCGCCATCTAGATAACTAGAAACAAATAAATCGCAGCTCGGGAAAAATTTATCTTATTCACATGAGGATCGATAGTGCTTTGTTTTAGGAATTTGCCCAAGAAAACGAATATCTCAGTCAGAGGCATTCCCAGAGAACACAGATCGCCTTCTCAGAAAGTTATTTCTGTTAAGAAGGTACGAATAAAACTAGAGTATGGGTGTGGAGTGGGTGTAGATGACTGTGACTCTTTTTTTCACCCATAACCTCGCCCACATCTACACCCATACCCACCCTAGAAAGGTTTTGGTTTCACTGCTAAGCATTTCTATGTTACGCAAAGGTTTCACACTCGCTGTCAACGATCCACTTATTCTTCTTCATAGACAAACTTTGGAAGCATGAAAGTATCGTCTTTTGTCCTTATCTTATGAAGTTACCAGTGACGTTATTTTGATACTTCGATCTCAATATCCAAAATCGCGAAAAAGTCATAAATAGAATAGGACACACACGTAGAAAGCTAATCATCTGAAATGTGGACAAAATTTAATCAATAAAGCAGTGTGCGATGCATATAGGTAAATATACTCTATAGACTTCTGACTAAGAAGATGTCATTTTTTGATCAGATAAACGAAAGTCTGTGATAAATATCCATTTCACTTTTGTCTCGATTCTTTTTAAGTAATATTCCAATCATGCATCCATTATACTTATGAAGTTTAAAACACTCGAAGATCTACTTGGGAGCCATAGTCGTAAGTTACTTACCAGGATACAATAATCAGAATAAAATTTTTCAAAAAATTTCAGTTACAATAATTTCGACCTTGGTTGAATTTTGTATATGCAAAATGCGTCGTTTGTTTGTCGAAGGACTCTTTTGTTATCTTTGCATCATAAAAAGCTTTGCATATCATATTTTTCTTCTTTCTACCTTATTTTCTTTTATTACTGTCAATCACGCGCTTTCTTGAGAAGCGTTGCTCATGTGAACAGAAAAATATTCAACATTAAGAGTAGACCACTCATCATGATAAACAAAGAAAAAACACTATATTTGTAAAACTGAATACGTTTCAAATGGAGTACAAGTATCGATATTCATTTATGTCTCATGTGAAACTGTTAGCATTGTTGAAAAATAGACAATGATAAATAATGATAGACTTCCTGTAGTATCAGGTAAAGAGACAAAACTTACATTAGTATGAAGCTATGACAAGTTTTCAGGAAGATAATATGAAAATTAGTCATTTCCAACGTAGTCATGATTTGTTGAATTGCATAAACACTAGAAAAATTGGCATATTTTTCTTATTTCTCCAATACAAAAAAGAAAATACCTGAAAAAAGAGTCGAGATATGAGTAGATGCAGAGAAGATACACAAAGCACCCATATCCACACTAGGGGTGTTACTTTATCTTTACTTTAAAAATAAAGGTAAAAATTTACTTTATCTTTATTTTATAAAGAATAAAGATAATCTTTACTTTAAAAATAAAGATAAGGAAATAAAGAAATCTTTATTTTTTAAAAAATAAAGATAAAGTGAATCTTTATATTTATAAAATAAAGATAAAGATAATCTTTATTTTTTAAAATAAAGTTAAAATAAAGAATAAAGAATAAAAAAATAATTTGTCTGGAAATTTCAACAAAATAAATAAATCATGTTATAACAATAATATATACGTATTAATTAAGAGTTATTTCATAGGATTATTTTTATGAATTGAAAAATAAATACAATATATAATACGTAAAAAGTGACAATATGCTAATACCGTTCTTTATGTCAATGAATTGCTTGTCTAAATCATATGTTAGTTATTTCAATAAATTTCTTTGTAATAACTGAGATGAAAATCAAATCTTACTCATGACCTTTTCAGTTAACTATACTATTCTTCTAAAAACTGTTAGCTTTTATTGTGAAAATGGCTACGACTCTAATTCAGTTAAAGTTCTGCGCAAAATATAGTGTTTTTCTTGATTTGTTTTGCAACATAGTTATCATCTTTTGACATTGTCGTAAATGAAACGCTGGTAACAATATTCAATGACAAAATCGCTTTGCTTTTAGGAGATACCTTGACTATAGTTGATTAACTATTTTCTTTCAATATTTTTTCAACCATATCAGCCATGTATAACTGTTATATCTCGGATTCTTCCGGATTCGATTATATAAAAGAAGAAGAATGATGAAATCTATCATCAGATGACAGGTTTAGCGCTTGAATATTATATTCCCTTTAATAAGAGATCAACCTTGGCGTATATCATATAAAAAAGAGTATTTATTTTCTCATCTGAGCTCTATTGCATAACTCTAGCTTCGAACTCGCTTCGTTACTTAGTCATCTTAAGGGGACCCTCCTTTCCGGACCCAAAATTTTCAAACTCTTCGGTTTTTGGTTTTTCTGCTCTACATGTGCTTCTAAGTGCCCTCTGCCTATTGATGACATTTTGAGAACCCAAACATTACCTTATATTGAAAATAAGATCGAAAATATATCATGATTCCCGTTGGGGTATAGCACGAATTTTTCTTCCTTTACTAGTTTTCTAGAAATCCAGTTTTTCAGCGAAAATCAACAGAATTACCCTCGTTTCTCAGGCACGATGCATCCGATCGGGCTGAAATTTTTTCTTTTAGATACTAGGGACAGTTTAGGGAAGCTACTTTTTTTTATTTTGAAAAAATAATACTACTGAGATTTTTCAGCTCTCACAAGACAAGCACTATCTGAAAAAATAGGCACTTATTAGGGTGCTCTTCGTATTTTGGCATTTTTTTCGAATAGAACGAGATAGAAAGAAACCAAAAAAAGCAGTCCCTGAAACAGTGTCTAGTATCTGTAAAACAAATTTCAGCTCTGTAGCACATGTAGCAACTGAGAAACGGGTGCGATTTGAAGGGTGGTTTTTAGCCATTGTGACCTCAATATCCTTAGAGGGGAGCGTTACAGAATTTGGAGTCTATGACAACTTTTACTCTATATGTAGAGATCTATCAGCTGTGAAAGTTTCAAAATTTTCTAATGAGTCGTTCTCGGAAAACCCCGGAAATGGGGGTCCCCTCAAAACTGAATGGAAATTTTAGCATTTATTTTATCAGAGATAATATATATAATGTTGCTCAATGCGATAAATATATTCGTACCTTCAACTTTCGTCATTCATATATTTGATGTGCATCCTTAACTTCTTGACTTCAATATTTTAATATGAGAAACTTTATTCTGTTTTACATGCATGCATAGAGAAACGCTTATAACATTCGTCTGACATATTTAATGCATAATTGGTTACAATTTGAGAAAAAAAAATGAGAAAAATATAGTATTAAATGCTTTTTCCGAATGCATTAGGTGTATTTTACACAAATGAAGAAAGAGTACAGGAGAGAGGAGGGAGAAATGGAGATGAAGGGTTTGGGCGTGAGTGTTGGGTTTAGGCTGATTCTGGGTGTTAGTGTGCATGATGAGAACACTCACATCCATAACCATACCTATACCCACACCCACACTTATACCTACACACCCCACACGCACACACCCACACTCACACCCCATTCTAAGACTATGAATACAGTTATAACTTTTTTTTCGGGCACTTCACTGATTTTGTATTACGGCTTGTTTTGGACAAAAAATATTCCTACATAACAAAATATGTTTTGAATAACATTATCTGTTGTTAACAACAGTGATTTACTTATTTTGTTGTAACTTCCAGGCAAATTATTTTTTTATTCTTTATTCTTTATTTTAACTTTATTTTAAAAAATAAAGATTATCTTTATCTTTATTTTATAAATATAAAGATTCACTTTATCTTTATTTTTTAAAAAATAAAGATTTCTTTATTTCCTTATCTTTATTTTTAAAGTAAAGATTATCTTTATTCTTTATAAAATAAAGATAAAGATTGTCTTTACTTTATTCTTTATCATAAAGAAACATAAAAATAAAGTAACACCCCTAATCCACACTATACTCACACCCCTACGCTGAACAATTGTGACTCAAAACTTCAATCTAAAAATGAAACAAAATATTCTTATTATTATGGTATTGAAGAAAATTTTTAAAGTAATACCATTTTGCAGATATTTACTCTTTTATTTGAAATCGTTTGAAAAATATTTTAGATAAACAAACATTATTTTATTAATTGTATATAATCAATCAAAGTTTATGTACCTAGAAATAATCAAATATTCATACAATATTATCTATTATAAGGTGGGTGTGGGTGTGGGTGGGTGTGGGTGTGGGTGTGTGTGGGCGTGGGTGGGTGTGGGTGTGGGTGTGGGTGGGTGTGGGTGTGTGGGTATGGGTGTTGTTCTTTTCATATTCATACTCAACCCACACCCGTCCACACCCTCATCCACACCCCACACCCACATCCACATCCACCCACGCCCACGCCCACACCCAGGCCCCGCGCGAGGGACCCAAGATTGGGGGGTGTGTGACGAGTTTTCAAGGCAGTCAAAACTGAGGGAAGCAAAATTTTTTTCGCATCAGATCTGATGTTAATCTTTTTTTGCGGGCCTAAAATGTAATCATTTTTCGCGAAGCGACAACTTTTTGCAATCTCCTTAAAAAATTTGATTTTTTCTCGCAAATTTTCAAGAAAAGAACTCGAGTCCAATATGAGAAAATTTCTCGATACTGCCGTTATCGAAAGCGACCACTTTGGTGCAAATTGCTCTATATCAAGCTGTTTCAAAGGAAAAGTTGACTAAAGTATTATCCGATCCAAAATGAAAGGCAGGTTACCATTTTTCGCATAACTATTGATACGAACGAGATAGAGAGCTGCGGTTTTCACCATTCGAAAGAGCGATGTCCGAGCCATTGGTCGGTATAGAACTGATTAAGACGAAAGATATTTTTTTTTTATGTGTACCATTGAATCAACACTTTTCCTTTGAGTATTTTCATCAATTTTTAGAATAATCTCAACTCAAATTATGTCAAAATGTAGCTCAAATCATCCTCTTTTCGCTATAAAATTAACATTTGTTTTTTTTAAACCCGCTTAGAATAAGCGATTGAGAGATAATAAAATATGTGATAATTTTATAGCGAAAAGAGGGTGATTTGAGCTACATTTTGACATAATTTGAGCTGAGATTATCTTGAAAATTGATGAAAATACTCAAAAGAAAAAGTGTTGGTCCAAAGGTACCTATAAAAAAAAACATCTTCCGTCTTAATGAGTTCTATACCGATCGATGGCCCAGACATCCCTCTTTCGAATTGTGAAAACCGCACCTCTCTATCTCGTTCCTATCAAAAGTTATTCGAAAAATGGTAACCTGCTTTTTATTTTGAATCGGACAATAGGAAGTTTGTCTAAGTTAACTGCGGTTACACAATTGTTATTTTTCACGAAGCGAAAACATTTTTCAGACTCACGAAAAACTCTTTTTCCCTTATGTTGTTCGAAAGCAAAAAGTGTTGCGATAACTCTTAGAGATTTCGCCGCCGAAGGCGGCCACGCTAGTGACGACTGTTGGAAAATAAAGCTCTTCAAAAAGAAAACAGAAGTAAAATTGCGTTAAAAACAGAAAAATCACATATATTTCTAGGCCGAATACGCTCCCGTGGTCATGTTTTCGCGAAGCGAAAAATTTAAACATCCCTTCAGAATTTTCTAGCAAAAAATTTCAAAAAGATTTATGGATTTTGTTGGCTACGAATGAGTAATTATTAATTATTGGGGGGGGGGG